TGGTTGTGTTAAAAAACCTATACGCAAAATTCCTGAAAATTTAACAGTTGGCTTTGCAAACCTCTATGAGACAGGTCTAGCACACTACCATGTGACACATTTCGAGATGCCCTCTGGGCTTAGGAAAACCAGGGTATCATACAAAGTAGAAAGGAAAAGTATTACTTACTTTCCTCCCTACTAGGACTAATGTTTGTACCACAAAATAATTTAGTAAGCTTTAATTTAAGTATAGCTTTAATTTGCTTTCTTAAGTAAAATTGTACAGATTTACTTAACAAAAAAATTAAATGTTAGCAAATTTATTAAGATTTTCCTTTATCTTTGCAGTATTTGGACAAATTAGACTTAATAGACCTCACACACCTCACTGATCACAGTTCAACTGAAAAGAATTGTGCAAAACTCACCCTTGTTTTGCCAAAAGAGGAAGTGCAACTGAAGGTGAGGAGAAATAATTTGTAAAAGGCTTGTGGTTATAAATAACATGCACTTTCTTCATACCCAATGGTTAAAAGGAAGGCTAAGTCTTATACTTTGTTTAAGATTTCTTGCTTGATTTTGGCAAGCAACCAGTTTTCTGAATTGGGATTTAAAAGACTATATTCACTTGTTTAATACAAAAGCTCCATGAAACAATGTACATCTGTCCTTGGACAAAGTTAGGGGTGCCACCTGGTGTTTTGTACAGACTGTTCTTGAATCAGCACTCAGGTTGAAGGAAGTCAAGTCAACCAACAACTACCATAATTAGAGAGAGCAACTTGCACTCGAACAAAATCTAACAGGAGAGTTTCCCAGGAAATTACTGACTGACCTTGAAAGCCCTGGTCCTTCAAACTTCAGCATAATAGGAATCACCAGTATGGGGGAAATCCGGGCCCACCACAGACTCTACAAGGCCCTAGATCAGTGTTTTTCAAACTTTTTAAATCTCACAGCACACCTGAACCTATCGTTAAACTTCAGTGGAACACTTAGATTTTGCTGATCAAAAATATATATATATATATTATACTAACTGTGCTTTGAACTTCCTTCAAAAATAAATTAGTGATCTTTAAAAATTTCTATGGCATACTAAGTTCTTCTCATGGCACATCAGTGTGCCACGTCACGCTGATTGAAAATCACTGCCCTAAATAATTCAAGGATGTGGTGTTTCAGAGCACAGGACTGGAGTCTGATGTCTAAGTTTGAATCTGGGTTGTTTTTTTCATTAGCCAAGTGAGTGCAGAGATGTTATTTATCCTCTGTGTGGTCTTTGTTTCTGCACCCGGAGGTCTGTCTTGGCTCTGATGTAGTCTTCTCCCTGAGGCCCACCTGGACCACTTTATTGAAATAGCAGCACCTTTCTCCTCCCCAGTCATACGCCCAATCTCTGTTACCTTGTTATACATTTTTCCCATTTATTTCCTTCTGACACTATAAAATCTACTTACTATCATGTTTATTACTTATTGTTTCTTGCTAGACCGTAAATTCCACAAGAACAAGGATTTTTGTTTTGTTCCTTGATGTAAACCCAGTACCTAGAATAACGTCTAGCATGTAAAGATACTCAATAAATATCCTTTAAATGAAAAATATACATAAGGCAGGTAAACAAAAACTAGTAGTACCTTTCTCCAAGTTGCTATGAAGGTTAAATCAATGAATACCTCTGAAGTGCTTGCAACAGACATTATATGTTCTCAAAAGATGTTGGCTGATATTGTTATTATTAGTAGTAAAAGCATTTATTTATTTATTCACTTTTTAAACAGACTATCATTATATTTCAATACATAACTTCTACACAACAAAAAATAAACCACCATAAAATAAACAAATATTAGTGATTATAGCTAGAAGCTAAGAGTTTCTACAGTGGTTTCCTCTAGGTTAGAGCTTAAATACTAACAGAGCAGGTAACTGTGAATTGACATATCACAGAAATAAATTTGCTAACATTTAATTTTTTGTTAAGTAAATCTGTACAATTTTACTTAAGTAGGCAAATTAAAGCTATACACTGTCTTCTGATAAAAGAAAATAGTATTGAAATATTTCATAATAAATATACATTGATAGTTATAAGCAAAACAGGAAAATAATTTATTTTTTTCTGTTTGAAACAATGTGGCTTCACAAAAAGAACATGCATTTTGTCAATCTTGCTGGGGTTTGATGGCTTGCATATTTCAAGTTATAAAATAATCATATGAAATTCTAAAGTTATTTGAAGTCAATAAAAATATTAATGCCCATATTTACTTTTATATTTTTGTTTGTTTTTGCTTTTGTCTTCAACTTTAGACAGAGAACACAGAAAGTGGGGAGGTATGGAGAGGCTTCATTCTTACCATAACAGAGGTAAGAAGGTGATTTTTTTTTGAGTGATTCATTTTTATCAACAAATACTTGCTGACCACCTACTATGAACCATGCAGAGTAAAAGTGGCTGAAACAATTAAAAAATATAGATCTGAACCCTTGCACTTACTCTTGAAAGTGTTACTACATATTTTTATTAGGTGGTGGAGAAGGAGAAATAAACATACATGATCATCTCACATAACAAGTGGTCAGTGAGAGCTACTTTTTGATCTTGTCCTTCTGATACAGTGGTCCTTAGTATATTCTGATATTTGCAGCTTACATAGAACCTTCTAAAATGCTTTCCAATTCCTTTCCTAGTCATTTAATACATGTTTATAAAATGCTGAGATGAATTTTATGAATAACATTGGCTTAGTGAGTCTTAAAACAAAGGGATATTTATCTGTTCAGCTCCATAGCATCTTATGAGAGGCAAACAGTAAGCTCTACTGCTCAGAGATAATTGTTACAGCAATAATAGACTGTTGCATGTTTATTATTTTAAATAAATCCAGTACAGCAACTGTCTTAGAAGCATGAGGTGCTTTGATAATCAGCCCCTAAAAGGGCACCATGTTCTCTGATACTTATAGAGGGTATGAAACTTTATTTATTAGGGCCACTTAAAAACAGACTCTATCCAAAGCTAGTTTCTGAGTAAAGCCTTTCCAGCCCCATGAAATGAGCCCTGCGCTTCACCAAGATGACAGATGCTGGTTCTTTATTTCAGTCAGTAACAGGTGAAAGTTGGGAATTCAATTACCATGCAGAGACGTCACACAGGCTAGAAAAATGAGCCAGTTAAAGATGTGATGGTCATGTGCGGGGTAGGGAAAAAATTCCTTGGGTGATCGCACTCCTTCCCTCTGTTGTAAATAAGTGTCGCTCTTTGGGATGGTGCTTCTTACACTGGAGGCTGCATGTCTACAGCCTGTGGCTGGGTGTCAAGAGCACACTGAGACTTTGGCAACCTGCTACATCTTCCTGGTATCCTAATTATACTTGAACTTTTGGCTAAACATTTTGTTTTTATTTTTAGTGTTTTTCCTTGAGGTAAGGATAACAAACATTATTTTATATTAAAACATACATGGATGTATCACAGAATATAAAATAAAATTCCAGTGAATTTTCAAGAGAAGAAGCCTCAAATGTTGAGCTCTGTGAATGTTGCTTTGTTCTGTGGTCCCAGGTCACTGTGTATGAACATTTATACTGTTGTTAGGAGAACTTTAGTGTAGATGTGTGAAAAGCACTGTCTGTAGTATCAAATAAAATGAAGTCTCAGTTACTAGCTACGTGACCCTGGACTAATTATTTAATCTTTCTGAGCCTGGTTTTTTTTTTTTTTTTCATTTGTAAAGTTGGGATATCAGTATCTTAGAGCATTACTGTGAGGATTATTAATAACACATGTATGTATAATGCCTGAGCTATAGTAGCCAATAAGGAGTAGCTGTTTAATTAGGAGTTTTCCACATTACTTAGTCATTTTATTATTATTCTTATTATTATGGAGACAGCATCTCACTTTGTTGCCCTGGGTAAAGTACAACATACCTCATGACATCATAGCTCTCAGTAACTTCAAACTCTGGGGCTCAAGCAATTTTCTTGTCTCAGCCTCTTGAGTAGCTGGGACTCCAGGCACCCACTACAACACCTGGGTTATATTTTAGAGACGGGGTGTCACTCTTCTTCAAGCTGGTCTTGAACTCATGAGTTCAAACAATCCACCTGCCTTGGCCTCCCAGAGTTCTGGGATTACAGGTGTGAGCCACTAAATTACTTAGTCATTTAGAAGTATGGTCTCTAAATCTTTTTGACTATGTAATATGTTATCAATTTTTTATTTAAATTTCATATGTACATATATACATAATAAGACATAAACAATAATAGGAATTAACAAAATAGAAACATGATAGAAATTGGACCTTTAATATTTTCTTCCCATACTTTAATCATTAGAGTATAAAACTGTTTGCTGGTCCTTGGTCACCTAATGAACACTCTCATCTCATTCATACTTTGCCATATGGCTGGGGCTTATTCCAGCTTACTCCAAAGAGAATGAGGCGCCTCACAGGTATTCTGGAGCTCCCCTGGCACTAAGCTCAGAGTGAAAACTGAGGTTTCTCTTGATTTTAATCAGCTCGTAGTGCAAAGTAGATGTACTTTGCTTTGCAGCCAGATAAAAAGGAAAATTTCTTGAAAGAAGGGTGGGCACAAGTGCAGGTTCTAGTTGGTTTAGAAGCATTCTAAGACATTTGCCCTACACCAAGATGTGTCTCTGTCAGGTAACAAAGTCATGTGGGGCCAGAACAGGCTCTTGACTATATTCAGTGAGCTCTTGGGCTGGCTCTCTTGTCTACCACTGTTTCAATTGGTTTCAGCTGTCAGTTCCCCAGCATATGTCACTCCTACCTGGGCAAGTAATTAGGCTGCATGAAGTGCTTGAGAGAGAAAAGAAAAGGAGGACTGAGGCAGAACAACAACTACTGAGCACGTCTGTGGATAAAGAGAAGGAACCAGCTGAGGATGATGTGCTGGACCTGATGCCAGTGTAAGTGCACAGTGAACTCCAGTCTCTTCATTTGATTATTAAGACTAATTTCTAATTATCAAGGAGAGTTAGCCACTTAAGCTTATTAAACTAGGGACAATAAACTGTCTTGGAGATAGACTGCATGTCTCTTGACTGCATGCCATAGTTCCTCTCCTATGTCATGATCAACAAAATGCAAATGTTAACCGGCCTGTCACCACACAGGAAATCCCTCCATCTACATCTTTAGACCAAATAGACACTTTCTCCGGAGTTCAGACCTAAATAAATAATATTTTTTTTATTAGATCATAGCTGTGTATATTGATACTGTCATGGGGTACAGTGTGATATTTTTATATACACTTTGAAATATTCTCATCAAACTGGTTAACATAGCCCAAATAAATATTCTTATGAAGAAAGAAGGAAAATATATTTTTTCTTCATGCAAAGCTATGGTTGACTAATTTCAAACAGAAAATTATGTCAAAAAATTTTAAACACCAGAATGTCTTATTCAATCAATCAACTAATCAGTAAGTACTCACTGAGCTTGTATTTTGAGGAAGGCCCTGTGTAAATTGTTGGAAAAATGCAAAGACACATAATATGCTAAATCCAGCAATATTCCACATTTACCTTAGATTGTTGAAAAGATTATTGTGAGCCCTTTCCACCTGGAATACTGGTGTTCTTATCAGTGACTTTATTCTGGTACCATCTTTAATATCAGATTCTGATGCACATTCTGTCTGTACTGGAATTGCTAAACACTGCTAACCACCACTTTTAGCTGAAATCAATGACAGCTAATGGACTGATAGGTTAAGTCACACACACTCCTTGTTTTTCTCAATAAAACAAGTAATAAATGTTTATTACAGATAAAGATATTAAAATAATTCCTTGTCCGATCACTTGGAGATATTTGCTGTTAATATTTTGGTGTATGGTATATCCTGTCAGATTTTTTTCTATAACTATGACTATATAATTTCTTGACTATAATATACAGACAATCCCTGACTTATGATGGCTCAACTTATGATTTTTTGACTTTACAGTGATGCAAAAGTGATAAACATTCACTAGAAACTATACTTCAAGTACCCATTCAAGTTCTGTTTTTAACTTTCAGAACAGTAAATTGTGTAGGATATTAAATACTTTATTATAAAATAGGATTTGTATTAGATGATTTTGCCACACTGTAAGTGTTCTGAGCATGTATAAGTAGGGTAGGCTAAGCTATGATGTTTAGTAATTAGGTGAATTAAATGCAATATTTTCTATTTCTGATGGGTTTAATGGGACATACCCCCTTCATAAGTCAAGACATATCTGTATATTATAAAATTAAGAGCACTTTATTTTTAATTCTGTGCATAAAAATACCACCAATGCCATAGGACATATTATACCAAAAGGAGTGAGTTTAGACATATACAGATATACCAGTTTTTTAAAAGAGAGACCATACAAAGGAAGAATTTACATTTGTTTTGTATTCCTGAAAGAAAGTTACCAACAAACTTTTATTCAAGATCTTATTTGTAAACAGAGACTAGAGATACATTGTTAATTCTTTTCTTAGATTTTTCAAACAGTATTGGTGATTATATAATCATCAGATAACTTTTCAGATCCTCTTTGTTTAAAGAGGCTTTAGAAGAGTAAGGGAAGATAGGCCTTAAGCATTAGCATGCTCAGAGTGGCAAAGGTTTGTAAAAATAGTTCATAATAATTACACAATTACATTTTAATAAAAAAACCGAAAAGTTTAAGAAATGTTAACAATTATAGCTCTCAACTTTGGCAGCATTTTTCCAAGTAATGATCCCATTAGTTGAATACATTTTTTTGTTTTTTTATCTCACCTCTATAGATGTTTTTATGCAGTGTCCAGGAAAGAAGCAACTGAGATGCTTGAGAAGAACCCTTCTCTGGGAAATATGATTCTGAGGCCTGGCAGTGACCATAGAAACTACTCCATCACTATCAGGCAGGAGATAGAGTACGTTTAATTTAAATAAACGTACTCTATATTTATTTAAATATATAAAATTGTTAAAAGCATGATATCACTTTAGATGACAAAGTGATCTAAGTCATACAAGTTCAGAGCATCACCTGCTTTTTTATCAGGGCTACAGATATGAGCAGAAGAACAGAGAGGGAAGGAAGGTTATGAAAGTAATGCTAAAGGATGAGCCAACACTGGTATTTGCAGTAGGGAACAACAATAAGCACACACATTACTTTCGTCCTGGTTACAGTCATACTGTTCATTCATTCAATTCAACAGATATTTATTGAGCAGCTACTATGTGCCAAGTAATGGCCTAGGCATTTACAGTACACTAATACAAAAACAGCATCCCTGGCTTCAGTGAATTTATATTCTTATCAGGAAACAGATCATAAATAAACACATAACTTAAAATATTATATATATCATAATAAGATCTGCCAAGCAAAATAAAGCAAGGTAAGAAAGATAGGAGGCCTCAGAGGAGATAAAGAGTGCACATTTGGGGGTTGCTGTTGTTTTAACATGTCATGGTCAGGGAAGACTGACTATATTAATGGGCACTTAGAAAAAGAGCTGAAAAATGTTAATTGTATTTTACATTCATTACAAACAAAACACAACACATCTATGACGGTAGGGACTGTTCTGCGTTTTCTCTTAATGCTTCAAAACATGCCTTTTTGAAAGCCTGAGTTTGTTTAATCTTCTATCTAACAGGTCATTTAATTTTAAAGAGTTAGCAATTGTAGATAATATTAGAATTGCAGCTTGTTATACTAGAGCTTAATGGAAAGAATTTGGTAGAAACCTAGGCTATTAGGAAACACCTGTGTTTCCCAACATAATCAATTCATTTTCGCACAGGTTGTAGGGGAAATGTGCAGCCAGCACGCTAGGTGGCGGTGTCTGGTGAGACCCTCACTGGCGGGGTAAGCTGCTCCACCTAAATTGAACTAAACATCTCCACCCACCAACAGGTCAGCTGTGGGAGGGAGAACACTGTTGTCAGGAGCAACACCTGCCACCAACTGAGGGGCTTCCTCTCTAGGTTCAGACTATCATCTGCTTCCAACCAGGCAGGTGGTGTACAGGTCCACAAGCCATAAAGCTTTCTTACAACAAACTTCGTGTTATTTTTTTTTTTTAATTGCTGTGATTAGGTGCGAAGCTAATAATACAGACACTTTGGAGCCATTAGCTAAGGAAGCGGTAGAAAGTACCCCCAAATCACTCCTTTCTGTACAAAAATTGAAGTCAGAAGCTAAGAATAAATACTGCATTTTTTCTGTAGAATAAGCTTCTGTGTATGATGCAGACCCATATTTTGGGACACTTTATTCTTTGTTTTTTTTCTCTGAGACAGAGTCTCACTTTGTCACCCTCAGTAGAGTCCCATGGCATCATAACTCACACAACCTTAAACTCCTGTACTCCAGCAATCCTCCTGCCTCAGCCTCCCAAGTAGCTGGGGCTACAGGCTCCCACCACAACATCTGCCTGATTTTAGAGATGAGGTCTCACTCTTACTCAGGCTGATCTTGAACTCCTGAGCTCAAGGGATCCTCCTGCCTCAGCCTCTCAGAGTGCTGGGATTACAGGCATGTGCCACCATGCCTGGCCTTGGCCCAAACTTTCAACAAAAATGCCCTTGGAGAAAATAGCTGGCTCTCAGCTGGGAGAGACATGTCTGGGGATGGCACACCCTGGAACAGGTGTGGACCCGGACAGTGTCCTCTGGCAGCCCCTCCCATCCCTGAAATTGGCTGGGTCTGGTCTAGCCTCCCCTGCACCTGCACAGCCACCTGGCCCGCCCTGCCCCCTGCTGGATCTTGGTCCTTCCACGCTGGGCTCCCCCTACCAGGCCAGACCACCTATGTCTAATGCACATCCTTATTTTTCCCTAAAAATATTGGGCAAAAAGTGTGCATTATACACAGCAAAATATGGTATAATCACATTCAAGACCATACATTAAACAAAACAAAACTGCTTCTTTGTTAAGGTCATGATCAGAAAACCTTAATATAGCAAATTGTATTGATCTTGTGTTTACATCTCTCTTCTTTGGAAAAGCAAAGGATAAACATGAAAGAAAACAAAAGGGTTTGTACTCTAGACAAAACGTAAGTTGCTCCGCAGAATTTTTTTTCTACATCACTTTCTGTTTCAGAGCTTAGTGCTACTAATTAAACATTCCTAGACCTTTGCCACTTTCTTCCTACACTTTGCCATAAATGGTGATGAAGATGTCAGTAACAAGGATCATTGTTTCCCTAAAAGCCTAGCATTTGCCAGCCCTGCACTGGGCACTAAATTGTTGCTTTAGGCACAATAAAATATTACAGACAGAAGTATTTTTCATGTCTTACAATTAAAGAGGATGAAACTCACAGAAGCTCCTAAATTAAAACAATAAATTTTAAAAGTAGTAAGAAGCAGTTACATTACTGAAGCTTAATGTGTCAGGCACTTTGGAAATACTAACATACAAAGCCTCCATCCTCTCCAGTAGGGATGCGCAGAGAACCTGCCCAGCAGAACCAGAGGTTTTTGGTAATTTCTTTTAATTTTTTTTAAATTCCTGTTTATTGTTGGACAATATTGTTTCACACATACATTAAATAGACCAAATAAATAAATAAATAGCAACTTCATAGACCAAAAAAAAAAAAAAAAAAGAAACCTTTTATCTTTGGCCTTTTAAACCATCTACCAACTACCAACCATCAAACCAATTACTCATAGTATAGCTAAGTACATACACAAAAGAAGTTACTGGAATGCTCGCTATGATGTCATTGTAGTTTTGATTTGCATTTGTCTGATAACTAATGAAGTTGAGCATTTTTTTTTTTTTTGAGACAGTCTCAAGCTGTCACAGTGGATAGAGTGCTATGGTGTCATAGCTCACAGCAACCTCCAACTTGGGCTCAAGTGATCCTCTTGCCTCATTTTTTTCTATTTTTTAGTAGAGAAGGGGGTCTCACTTTTGCTCAAGCTGGTCTTGAACTCGTAAGCTCAAGCAATCCACCCCTGTTGGCATTCCAGAGTGGTAGGATTACAGGCATGAGCCACCGTGATCAGCCAATGTTGAGCATTTTTTCATATACCTGTTGGCAATTTGTATGTCTCCTTTTGAGTAATGTCTATTCATATCCTTTCTCATTTTAAAAATCAGATTATTTGATTTTTTTTCTATCAAGTTGTGGAACTCGTTATATATTCTAGTTGTTAATCCCTTAGTACATGGTTAGTTTGCAAATATTTTCTCTCATTCTGTGGATTATTACTTCACTTAGTTGATTGTTTCCTTTGCTGTGCAGAAAATTTCTAGCTTGATGTGATCCCATTTGTCCAATTATGCTTTGGTTGCCTATACTTTGGGGATATTACTCAATTAGTCCTTATCAAGACCAATGTCTTGAAGCATTTCCCAATTTTTTAAAAATAGTTTTATAGTTTCAAGTCTTAGATTTATATCTTTAATACAACTTGATTTTTTATTTTTGGAGACAGAGTCTCACTGTGTCACCCTTGGTAGAGTGTGATGGTGTCATAGCTCACAGTAACCTCAAACTCTTGGGCTCAAGCAATTTTCTTGCCTCAATCTCCCAAGGAGCTGGGACTACAGGTGCCCACCACAACACCTGGCTATTTTTAGAGACTAGGTCTCTCTCTGGTTCAGATTGGTCTCGAACCTGTGAGCTCAGGCAATCCACCCACCTCAGCCTCCCAGAATGCTAGGATTATAGGCATGAGTCACCTCACCCGACCTTATACATCTTGATTTGATAGAATATTGTGAAAGATAGGAGTCTAGTTTTATTCTTCTGCCTATGGATATCCAGTTTTCCCATCACCATATACTGAAGCGTCTATCCATTCCCTACCATATCAGAACTAGAATTCGAACCAAGATTTTTTAATCAGTCTTTCAAAGAATAGCAACTATTTATTTCATAGGAATTGTAATTAAAAACAGAGAGTTTTCAAAAAGTAATCTGTTAACAAAGATCTTTTCATGATAGAGGCAAAGATAAGGCCAGAACAGAACACTCTGAAGGCACAAGTGAGAACCCTTTGTTCAGCAGTGTCTCCTTCCCCGGTATGTGACCAATTCCTGATGTTCCAGCAGTAGAGAATACTTTTTTATTTTTAGGAAAGTGTTGGTTAGGTTTTACCCCATGTTGTGAAAGTAGGCCATTGGAACTAATTTGTCATCCATCTTCTGATGTGATATCTAATTGAGAAAACATTTCGATGTAACAGTGAATGAGGAAAAAGTCCCCTGATGAGGGGACTTCAGTGTAGTATAATCCTGGAGGGATGTGAACTGGAAATGAAGGGAGAAGGAATTAAAAAAAAGAAGAAAGTGGTAAGGCCCCATAGACCAGCTTAACCTGATGAACAATTTTGCTTTAGATAGTGTCTGTACATAGAACAAAAGTTGAATTAATTACAGCAAATGACAATGCAGTAAATGCTATTAACATGTTCACATTAGAAAAAGTTTTGGTCTAACACTCCTGCATATGACTTAAGGGAATTCAATACAAACATACTCTTGTTCAAAACTAACTGGCATGGACACTGACTTATGATCTCACTATAAACTCATTTAGTTCTAACAGCACTAGGAGCTGGGCTCTAAGATTTTAAAATTCAGTTTCATAAATATTTATTGTGTGTCTTATGCTGGAACACCAAGATGTATAGAATATGCTTTCTTGTTTGTGAAAAGTTCATGATCCATAAGCTACTTTGTGTTCAGAGTGGGAGTAACTTAGAGAGCTATGTGACTGTAGAAGGGGAAGACACTAAGATTCATCTGCTGTACTTATATCCCATCTGTGTGTTTATAAAGTGCCTAACCCTAGAATTTTCTATATCTCTAAGTCAACCCTGAAGTTAGCTTTCAAACAATAGCAACTATTTATATCCAGAGAGGTATATGATTTATGAGGAACAGCTATCAGGAATAGGCTTTCTGGTTGGATTAGTGATGGATGAGGAGCAGTAGAAAGCAATTTGCTTTCAATAATTCTTTCCATTTCTATTTTAATAGAGAATATGTATTTAATTTATATATGCTTTCATAGGATTTCTACTGTGGAAAGCAGTAGCATTTTAAAAAATCATTTCTACCAAAATGATTTTCTGTTTATTCTTTTTCGTTCGCCCAATGATCCAGACTTCCTATATCCTAGTATATAAACACCCCCCCAAAAGGGCTAGCGGAAACCATGTAAATAGGAAAACAAAACCACCAAGGAATTTTTTTTTTTTTTTTTTTTTTTTTTTTTGCCAAACTATGGTCATTGAAACATAGGTATAGTATACAGGTGATATTTTATACTTAAACTTTGTATTTTTTTTTTAATACTTAAACTTTAGTTTGCTTTGTCCCCATCATAATCAAACAGAGATTAACTGATTGTTTCATCTTAGCAAACCAAGAATCAAGCACTACAAAGTGACAAGCATAGGGAAAAACTACACTATTGAACTGGAGAAACCTGTAAGTAGCTATTTCTTTGTTGTTGAACTTTCTATTCTTCCCAAACCTACCTTATGGAATACAAAGAAAGATGGAAAAGCAGAATTTTTCCCTAGGGACTTAGTACTGACAAAAAAATAGGAGCCCTGCAGGTGGCAGATACACAGGGTGAGAAGTGAGATATGAGAGCAGGTGGGTAAGGCAGAATAAAAGATAATTTGCTTCTAAAAATTCTCTCCATCTTTCTTTCTTTACAAGTCTTTTTCAAAATAATTATTTCAGGAAGAGAAAGATATTTCTGTTAAATGTGTTTTATAATCCTCCAGTTATATTTAAATGTGTTTATTTCTAATGGTAGGGAATCTGTGAATGCCTAGTCCTCTAATACCTCCATGCAGAAGTAAAAGAAATTTTACCATTAAGAAGAAATCCCTTCTTAATGGAAACATACTGTGAAGAAAGGGTTTCTTCTTTGTCTTCAACCCCTCTCCCACCCTAGCTAACTTATAATGGGCTTAATAATATAACTACCAGATACTATTTTCAGCACAGACATACATACTTTACGTATATTCATTTACTTGTTATTATTACTCTGAGAAACTGTTATCCCTATTATTCAGGTTAGAGAACTGGCATTTACATTGATTGAACCAGTAAAAAAGTGGTGATGTGGCTCACATTCTAAGAAGCTGGAAAATGGAATATAGCTCTGTGATTTTAGGTTGAGGTAGTGAGAAGATCCGGCTAGGAAAGATTTAAATCACTTAAATAGAACTGTGGGTCTTCATGATATTTTTAGTTCTCTAAAATTGAACTCCCAGCTCCTCTGCTTTTCCAGGTTTATTGCATAAATACGTTTTTTAAAAAAGGGATAGTGTGGTTGAATTTCTTATATTTGGGCCATAATCATTAGACAGCAAGGCAGTTACTGATTTGTACAGCCCATTTATGCCTTTGCCAAAAACACTTCCCAGAGCTTCTTGGTTCTCAGACCCACGCCTGATGAGGCTTTTAAAATAAAATTCTAATGAAGAAAGCAAAGAATTAAACAGATACAGAGTAATCCAAGTAACCAAGTGACCAGAACCAAGAGTCAGGGAAGAATAATGTGTCTTTGCAGTTGGTGACCTGGGGCTCGTTTCTGTCACCAGCCCCTGTAGTCCAGAGTGTGAGGAAACCTCACTGCCCAGATTATCCGTCACCATTCACCCTCCTCAACCCCATTCCTCAACTCTTCAACCAGGTTGTATTTGTGTTGTTTTTCTAACAGACAGTAGTCTCGCCATGTTGCCTAAGCTGGAGTGCAGCTGCTATTCACAGCCTCCACTCCCTGGCTCAGCAATCATCCCTCCTCAGCCTTCCAAACAACTGTGACACAGGCATCCACCTCTGTACCTGGTTCATGAATTCTTTTTGCTCTTCAAGGTTACCTGAAATAGTCGACTTTAATCTGATTTGACTTGCATAGAAAATTCAGGCAGCAGGATTGTGGGACCTGACTCTTGGGGTACATGTGGCCTTCTGATCCTTGAGTGTGGCCCTTTGATGTTTCTGTCACTCCTAGACCAGAAATTATCCCATTACAATGAGATAGTAAAATGCTTAAATTCTCTGGTTTGTAGAGCTTCTTTGGTTTCAAGGAGAGGAAATCAACTATAGTTAACATTTTTTAAAATTTTATAAAAGAGATGGTGCCTAACAGTGTTGCCTAACCTGGTCTTAAACTGCTGGACTCAAGCCATCCTCCAACCTCAGCCTCCCAAGTACCCAGGATCACAGGTGCAAGCCACCACACTGGCTCTAATTATGGCTAAGTTAAGTAAAAATGAAATTATTAAGATGCAGAATGACTGGGAGGTTAGCAACCATTCAGGACACAGTTGCTTCTACCAAGAACTATTTCTGTAGAGAGTGGTCCTCCTTCCTTGTTCCTTTGCTCAAGTTCAAATTTCAGTAAGAAAGCATTTTCTGGAGTCCCCTTTTATGCCTTAATTAAGGGATAACAAGGTACCTACTTATTTCCACTGGGTAAGGGGTAATTCCTTAACAGAGAACCTACATAGTTCATTATAAAGGAGAGAGAAGACACACGGATGGTAAAACTAGGGTCACGTAAAAAGTCACTGAAGTGAGCTGCTAACGTGACTTTTTGGAGATCAGGAAATACCCAATTACTGCCATTAATTTCCAGTTGAACTTTCACTCTAATCTTTACCCAGGTGACACTGACTTTTCTCCTACTCTCTATGCAGGTGACACTTCCAAACCTTTTCAGCATCATTGATTATTTTGTGAAAGAGACTGGAGGAAATTTAAGACCATTTATATATCCAACTGATGAAAATCTTGGTATGTTCTTCTCTTTGTTGCTATATTAAGGAAAATAAAACAAATCCTTGAAACCCTGCATATGATTTGTAATACCAGACAGGTAAGAATTGTTGTTCAGCTTTTAAATTTGTCCCTTTAGAAATCATTTTTTCACCGAGTCTGTGAAAATAAGGGAGGTACCAGTATTCATTGTGGATCTATCTAGAAAATTGAAAGCCCTGAGTCTTGTGTGGTGATTGTTCATCTCCTTGTTCTCCTTGGTTCTGTCAAACAAGATCAGAGAAAACCATAGTCATACAGATTGACAACCAAGCAGGGAATTTAAAGAGGTGCTCTGTCAACAATGTTAGATGCTCCAGACAGTATAAAATAAGTAAGGATTAAGGAAAAACTATAGAAATGTGTCATTAGGCAATGGATGATTTCAGAGAGGAGTTTATTCCACTGTAAAAGCAGAAGTCAGATAGCAGGAGAGCTAAGTGGGTGGTGAGGAGACACAGATGAGGACTGTGGTCAGCACCATCTCCTAATCTGTGGACCCCTTGTCATAAATTAAGAATTTAAAAAACAGGCATGACAGATCTTTAAACCAAATGTGTCCTGTGCCAGAGCACTGTTCACATCCCATGAGATTGCCCTTGTGAACAGCTCTGTTCTTGGCAGTGCAGGCCAGGATGGGTGCACTGGTCTCTCCACACCTTGCAATCCCGATGTGCACCATCTTGAGGCAGGTTATTAGCAGGAGACAAAAAATATCTTCAGCTTGTTGGATTTCAGTTACCAAAACAAGTCTCTGCTCCTACAGATTATGAAGGAAAGAACTTCATTTGGCTACCTAACTGGGGTGTCTATCTGGAAAGTCTGACTAATATGTCAGCGAGTGTAAAAGTTTAAGTTCTTAAAACATTACTATGGATCTTCTGATGAAAAACAAAAACACCAAATCCCCCAAAACTCAGAGGCTAAAAGAAATCCATAAAATTCTCAAGTAGTGTCTTATCTGCACAGCAGCTGCCCGCACACCCAGCACAAAAAATGTCTCTAAGATGTGACCGTTCCACTAGTTTGAAAATTCCAGAGTAAGGGGGCTCACTGAAGTGAGGCAAATTCACTTTCAGACAGTTCTTGTATTAGAGCATTCTTCCTTTAACTTCTATACACTAATTCTAATACTGGCTCTAAACAAGTTTTTAATTTTTAAAGAGATGATGTCTCACTGTGTGGCAGATTGGCCTCAAACTCCTGAGCTCAAGTATCCTCCTGCCTCAGCCTCCCAAGTAGTTAGGATGACAGGCACCCTGACGCCCAGCCCAATAAAGGTTTTGTAAAAGGTCATCGAGTATTTCCAAATGGCCACAGTGTCTCCTCTGTACTTTTGCTCTGTCATCTAAATTAGTGATTCTTGCAGCTCTCGCTGTCATCTTTGACCCTTCTCTGTACATTGTCTAATTTCCACATATCTCCTTTAAAATGTAATAAGGGATGAACATGTTGTTGCAGACAGGGCAGCACAACACATTACTTGGGCATAATGCAGGAAAACACAACCTAATAGAATTTTCTGGCTCAGCACCTGTGTCTCAAGCGGCTAAGGTACCAGCCACATACACCTGATTTGGCGGGTTTGACTCCAGCCCGGCCTGCCAAACAATGACAGCTGCAACCAAAAAATAGCCGGGTGTTGTGGCGGGCAGCTGTATAGTCCTAGCTACTTGGGAGGCAGAGGCAGGAGAATCCCTTGAGCCCAGGTGTTGGAGGTTGCTGTGAGCTGTGATGCTATAGCATTCTACCCAGGGTGACAGCTTGAGGCTCTGTCTCAAACAAAAAAAAAAAAAGAATTTTCTGGGAATGAGTTTGAGTTATTGTCCCCATCACCCTGAGAACAAAGAATTTCTTATAACATCTCCAAGATAAAAATGCTTTTATAAGGGAGAAAAACCCAATGTGACTTGCCTCCTTCATAGATATCAATTATCTAATGCTGTGTAACAAAACCAGCCCCCAAACATAATGGATAAATCAACAACCATTTTATTTGGTCATGAGTCTGGGGATCAGAAATCCAGGTGGGAGTCAACCAGGCAGGCTTTTGCTCATCTTGTTTGGTGCCATTCCCATGAGTGTAAGTAGCTGGTGGCATGAGGGGTGGTGGTGGGTCTCAGGCTCTTCAAGTAGTGGGACTGAGCTGCTCTACTTGCCTCCAATCTTTGCCCCAGCCAGCTTCTTTCACAGATCTCCCAGCTACATGTCCTTGGGCTAGAAATCCTTCATGCTGGGAACAAAGTGCAGCCCCCTGGAGCTTTTAGGATAGAAGATATGAAATCCAATGTGGTATGTGTCCTAGGTACAGGGGCTATTTTTCTGTCTTTTAAAATAAACTATCTTTTACATTTACATGCAATAAAATTGCTTTTTGGTGTACAGCCACTACCACAATCAAGATATAGAAAGTTTCACCACCTAAAAAATTGCCCTACTCGATCATATGGTAGTCCTATTTTTCTTTTTGTTTAAGGATCTCTATACTGTTTTCCATAATAGCTGTACACCTATGCATTCCCACCAACAGTGCACAAGCCTTCTTTTGTCCACACCCTTATCAGCATTTGTTACCTCCTGTCTTTTTGGTAAGTCATCCCAGCAGGTGTGAGGTGGTATCTCATTGTAGTTGTGACTTGCATTTCCCTGATTAGTGATGCTGACCATTTTTTCATATTACTTTTGGCTATTAGCATGTTCTCTTTGGAAATACGTCTATTCAGGTCTTTTAACCATTTTTTCATTGGATAACTTATATTTTTGCCACTGAGTTGTATGAGTTCCTTATATCTTTTTGATCCTAGCATTTGAGGATTCTTGAGATCATTTTGTTAATAGTTTCTAGTTTACTTCGATTGTAGTCACAGAGCACAATTTGCATAACTTAAGTTCTTACAGACTGTTTTTTAATCACTGGTTGGTATGATTTAGAAATGTCAACTAGCTCAAGTTTTTGCTCGGGTCTTAAATACACTTGCTGATTTTCCGTCCATTTGTTCCACTGATAACTGATAAATGGGTGTTTAATTCTTCATGCATAATGGTAGATTTGTCTATGTTGAATTTTATAAGTTTATGCTTCATGTATTTTAAAGGTTTGTTGTTAAGGTATTAGTCTTCAATGCTGTAACAAATTACCACAAACTTAGTATCTTACAACACACATGTATTATCTCATTTCTGTGGTTTAAGAGCCTGGGTCTGGCTTGGCTGAGTTTTCACCCACGCAGTCATGTGTGGGTGTCTAGGGTGGGTTCTCACCTGAGACTTGACCAAAAAAGAATATACTTCCAGACTCGGGTTGTTGGGAGAATTCATTTCCTTGCAGCTTTGGGATTCAGAGCACCTGACTTCAAGACATCAGTGTCTCTGCCATGTTGGAGGGAGGGAGAGGTTGGTTTAGGGAGCAAATCTGCCAGTAAGACCCCATATAATGTAACATTACTATTGGAGGGAACTCTGTCAGATGACATACATAAGCCTGGTGCTGATGGCCCACCTTTGCTACACTCTGTGGTTGGAAGTCACAGATACAGCCCACACTCAGCGTTTGAATACTGAGAGTGAGAGAAAGAGAGTCCTGTGGTCCACTACAAAATGCAGAAAAATTTAGGGGTGTTATGTCATTGGTGGTGACCCCTTTAACTGTATGTAATTTGCCTGGAACTGAGAGTATTTTGTCTAACAGTAATATAGCCACTGCAGCTTTTTTTTTTTTTTAAGCCCTCCAAGGTGTGAATCCAGCTTTTTTTTTTTTTTTTAAGAAAAGCATTTGTGTGATTTTTGATCTTTTTACTCTTATCTATGTCATTCTATTTAAAGGTTTCTTATAGACAACATGGAGTCTTTTTAAAAAAATTCAATCTGAAAATCTGACTTGTGTTTTTTTGCATTTATTATGGCTTTTAATATGTTTGGAATTTATGCTTTATATTTTATTCTTTGCTTTGTCACTTCTGCTACCCCATCTCCCCCTCTTGGAACATATGTATGCTTTTTAGTATTTATTGGCTTTTTGGCCATACTTGTACTATTATTTATAATGGTTGTTCTAGAAATTACAATATATATATACCTAATCTTTCTCAGTCTGTTTAGAGTTAATATTTTTACAACTTCAAAAAAAATGTAACCACATAGGTCCCTTTACTTCCTGTTGTTATAGTTGCTACATGCTTTCTGTCTACATACAATGAAAACCTCAACAAATAAAGCTTAATGGCTTTTATTACAGTTGGCCCTCAAGCAAGATGGGTTTGAACTGTGGGATCATACTTATACATGGATTGTTTTCAACCAAATGCAGATCAAATATACAGTATTGTCAGGACGCAAAGCCTGTGTATAGGGAGATCAACTTTCTGTATATCTGAGCTCTGCAGGCCTGGCTGTGGAGCTTGAGAACACTTGGGTTTTGGTATATGCAGGGCTCCTGGAATCAATACCTGTGTATACTGAGGGCTGACTATTGCTTTCAATAAGCAATTTAATAGAAAATAGTCTCTTTTTAAGTCAGATTTTTATTCTGTTGTGCTTTCCTCCTAAAGTTAAAAATTTTCCTATAGTGTCAATTATCTTTAACCTGATGAGCTTCTGAACCTATTTAGTAAATTAATTTCAGATATTTTTTCACTGTGAAAATTTGTTTTTTATAATTTTTATTTCTTTGATGAGAACATCTCTCTCCATTCATTGTAAGAGTGTTAACAGCCACCTCGTGGGAGACAGCTGCTTTAAAGTCTTTGTCTGGTAGCCCCAACACCCTGGTCAGCTTAGTGTTGGCTAGAGAACCGGTCACATTTCTGTTTTTATTTATTTAAATTATTTATTAAATTGTAACTTTGTACATTGATTTCTGTTTTTATGTAACAAGTAATTCCTCAGTCTTTGTATATCAAGTACTTTTGAATTGTATGTTGGATAGTCTGAACATCATGTCATGAGCTTCTGGATCTTGTTAAAATCCCCTGGAGTGTTTTTTTTTTTTTTTAAAGTAATCCTTCAGATCAGATTGAACTAGTTCTGTTTTACTTTTTGTGGGAAGCCATTTTAATACTACTTCAGTTTTCACAGACTCTGTCTGGGTACGCATATCTCAGGAATTTTTACCCGGGGGGAGGCAGTGGTTCCCATTTTAGTTTTCCAAGCCTTTGCTATGTTTTGTGCATGCACGGCTCAGAGGTGAGCCTGGGACTCCTGTCACTTCATACACAGAACTAGGGGTGCTTCCTCAGTCTCCCCAAAGTTACCACCACACTCTCTAGCTACCAAGGTCCTTTTTCCTGATTTTCTTTTTCTTCGAGGCAGAGTCTTACTTTGTCACCCTTGGTAAAGTGCGGTAGCATCATAGCTCATAGCAACCTCAGACTCCTGGGCTTAAGCGATTCTCTTGCCTCAGCCTCCCAAGTAGCTGAGACTACAGGTGCCTGCACAACGCCCAGCTATTTTTAGAGACGGGGGTCTCACTCTTGCTCAGGCGGGTCTCAAACCTGTGAGCTTAGGCAATCCACTGTGCTCAACCTGTTTTTACTGATTTTCTAGCTAGGAAGATAGAGCTTCTTTAGTGTTGTAGCCACCTCTGCTGTCATGTCGTTCTGTGAGGCTGCCAGAAAAGAACGAGAAAAAAGCAGTTCTAGACAGCGCCTGTGGCTCAGTGAATAGGGCGCTGGCCCTATATACCAAAGGTGGCAGGTTCAAACCCACCCCGGCCCAACTGCAACAAAAAATAGCCTGGCGTTGTGGCAGGCACCTGTAGTCCCAGCTACTTGGGAGGCTGAGGCAAGAGAATCACCTAAGCCCATGAGTTGGAGGTTGCTGTGAGCTGTGATGCCACAGCACTCTACTAAGGGCGACAAAGTGAGACTCTGTCTCTTAAAAAAAAAAAAAGAAAGAAAGAAAGAAAGGTAAAAGCAATTCCAACTCTACTTACTGTTTCAATACAATTTTTCTTGGTTTCCCTGGCCAGAAGGATGGACAGTCTCCTGGAGTTTTAGATGCCCACACTGCTACTGGCACAGTGTAGCATTCTGACTAGGGTCCACCCAAGGGCCAGGAAATAAAAAAAATTGACAATAGAAAATGAGCTGTTGATGCTGTGCTGTTAGAAATACCAATGATGTTAGAAACAGATAAGAGGATGCTATATGACTGGACTGGTTCAGTCTACTTTGTGATCAGGAACAACTTACTTGACTTTCTCTGCATTTTAACTCCTTTCTTATGAGGATGAATGACTTAGGAACAGATGGAACCACACAAGATAATTTCAAATAATCAGAATATCTTCTGTCACGTTACATATTTCCTTCCAAAACAGAAAGATGATGGGAAAGGGAACGAGAGAAGTAAAATGAGAATGGAAATAAGATTTTCTAAGAAAAGCTATAAAGAGGTCAAAACTTATTTTGACAAATAATGCTCAAGTTTTAAGGAAACCGTGAAACCCTACAATTATTCCAGCAATGTGGACAGTGGCTGGCAGGGCATGAGCTCTACTTGCCTGGGGCTGTGGAGCCTGGAGATCTGGAAAAAGTTAATGTGTTTACAATAAAATACCATTTAAGAGAAAATGAGATTTTCTTTATGTCAGCATTCAGCTTTCTCTCTGACCCAAGAGGCGGAGGGGTGGTATCACTGGAGCCCAGGAGTCTGATAAACCTGGGCAACACACCACCCACACTGAAGGTAAACAAAACCATGTCTGTGATGGTGATTCTAAGAAAATTAATCAAGTTCTTTAATTAATCAAGTTTTTCCACCTATAAATTCTAGGCCAAGAAACCAACATGGAAGGGACAAGTGTGAAGCTGGAAGAAAAATCCACACATCGCATGAAATGAGAAAAGTACAGCTCTTTTGTGTATCTTGCTAATTTTTATTTTCAAAAGATCTTACTTTTAGAGAATTACCTCTGTAATCCTGATCCTGATTACCAAGTCATTCATCTGGATATCAGAATTGAAACACTGTAGCATAAAATTTCATTATCTAATCAGAATGAAATCAATTCACTGGCAAACCGCAGACTCTGGTGTGGGGATGACTCCTAGGGTATGTGTTCCCAGGCATGGAGTTTTACTTTCCTGTGCTTCGATTAACACAACTTCTACAGCAGATTCTCTAGTTTTCCTAAATCCTACCAATTCCAATAAAATCTCACTAGGTTTTGTTAAAGTCTGATTTGACCAGTGTATCAAATATAATTTTGACTATCAAAATGGAAGCTAGAGACATGAAATATACTTGGAGAAGTCCTTTTCCAATAGAAAGTCTATGTCATGTTTTTTTGTTACTGGTAATAAATGAAATTTATCCACTTGCATGTTGTTCTCTGATATCTTTCTGCTAGATCAAAATCAACCCATAATTCCTTCCAAAGATGGCAAATGGATGTATTATCACCTTCATTCACAAATACAATATAGTATGAACCTGATATAAACGCCCAGAGTTTCTTAAAAACACTAATCCCTCAGGCCCAGACTACGTTTACTCAAAAAAACTCAGGGATATTTTTAAAATATCTATATATTATTTTCATTATTGTTTTAGAGACAGTGTCTCACTGTTGCCCAGGCTGGAATGCAGTGGCGGGATCACAGCTCACCACAGTGAGACCCTCATAGCACAGGTCATCATGACGGGCTTGGGATATTTTTTCATTATAAAAAAAGTCTAAGTTGATTTTGATGATCATTCAATTTGGGAACTATTTACACAATCAACTAAGATTATTAATAAGAGATAGGGGCCTATATTCTATAAGCAAAGGCCCTGTGAGACACAGAGATGGCCATCGACAAGGCAAGGATCATCTGTGCAGCAATATTTGCAAACCAAGTAACACTTTCTCTTACATGGAGAGACAGTGCCAGCCAGGCAGAAATCTTAGATATAATGGGACTTGGAACATAAAGCCTGAGCATTAATGTAAGTATTTATCAAAATTTACTGAATACTTATATACATCATTGTGTTAACTGACCTAAAAATTACAAAAACAGCATACATATATATATGTTATTTATTCTCAAGGTCTTATAATTGGGTTGGTCCAAATATAGATAAGAAATGACAATAAAGCGGTCAATTTTCTTACCATCTCAAAATGTTGAGTGAACTCTTATATATTGTAAGAAAACAGTTATAGAAATTTTAGAAAATTAGAATCCTGAAGGTGGATTATTCTGCCATGTGGTTGGCAAAATAAATTGAAAGGAAAGGACAGGGAAACAGAAATCCAAGCCCAGGGCCTGACTAAAGTGGTGAGTCTCCTTGAAGACCAATATCACACCTGACAGAAGAACTGCTGGAAAGCAGAGCCATCGGAACTGCAGAGATGGACACTGGGAATGAGACCATAAAATGGCCTCACAGTTTAAAGAGTAGACATATTAGAAAATACCTACAGGGGACAAAAACTATAAAAAGAGATTTAGCAGTTTTAAAAAAGAGAACCAAAGAGAACTTCTAGGAGTGAAAATAAAACCACAACAATGAATAGTAGAGTACGTAGATAAGAAAGAGATGAAGAGGTTAGTAAACTGGAATATGGGTTAGAAAAAATTATACAGAATAAAGCATAAAAAGAAAAAAACAGTTGGGAAATATGAAAAAGAGCAGAATGTTCAGGTCTGCTACATTTAATGAGAATCCTCACAGAAGGAAAGATAATGGGGAAGAGACTGGGTGAGGAGTGAAATCTGGAAATTTCCCAGGATTAATAAAAGACACAAACCCACATTCAAGGATCTTAACAATTCCCAAGTAGGATTAATATAAATAACTCCATACCCACACAAATATTAACCTGCACAAAACCAAAGCAAAGAGAGGCTTCTGAGCAGAGGAAAAAAAACTGGATGGAATCAGACTCTGTGAAGCCAAAGGTGGGGAGCTGAGCAAAGAAAGAAGTTCTTTTAACTCCAAGGAAGAGCATTCAAGAAAACAAATTACAGGTACAAAGCCTATGGACTAGAGGATGGGAGACTCCTCCCTCAAGCAGGAGGCCTGCCACAGGATATCTGCAAATAAGCAGGGAACAAAAGACCTCTCATTTTACCTCACTGGAGAGAGTCGCTAAACTCCAGGTCTCTTTCTCCAGTGAGGTTCCACTTATGAACCTAGACACCATCCTACCAGGCATAAAATTTAACAGGTATTTTTCCCCACAAGTCCAAATTCCCAGTCCAAACATCCCTTGCATGGTGGTCTGAAGTTCTGCCCCCTGCAGAGCACAGAGTGTTTGTTTTTGTCTTGAGAGATCTGGGCATAGTGTGGACTGCCAACCACTAGGATGGAATCTGTGGAAGAAAGAGGGTGTGGGAAGAAAGGGACATTCAGCAGGAGGAGGAGCAGTCCCTGGATTATGACTATGTCCAGCCAGTGGTGGTGCTGACTTTTGGTTCTGGCTGTGTCTGGCGGGATGGGGTACAGAACATACGGCTCTGACAGGAGAGTGGTTGCCCATGGACTGAGTTCAGAAGACAGGGCTGGTCTCCAGTAGAATCCCTCAGTAATAGAGTTGACCAGGCAGAAGAAAAGATCTCTGAAACTGAAGCCAAAGCTTTAGAACATTTCCAAACACTCAAAGAGGCAGACAAATGGAGAGCAAAAACTGATCATTCCCTGAGAGTGTTGTGGGATCACTCCAAAAGATCAAACATTCATCTTATAGGAATTCCTGAAGGAGATGAGGATGGTCCTTAAAATACAGATGCTCTACTCTAAGAGATTTTATTTTTATTTATTTTTTTATTAAATGATAGCTGTATACATTAATGCAAACATGGGGTACAGTGTAGTGTTTTCATATACATTTTGAAATACTTTTATCGAGCTGGTTCACATAAATTTCATGTCTTTTGCATAGTCATTGTGACAAAATACTTATATTCTAGTTCTAGAAAAGTTCACTTGTACCCTTGTTAGACAGAAATATAGGTGATCTTTCCAGTCACCCTCCCACCACCCAGCCGCCCTTCTCCCCTCCCCTTCCCCACCCCCTCCCCATATTCTTGGGCTAGAATTAAGTTGTATCTTTCATTAGAGAGCTATAAATTAGTTTCATAAAAGGGCTGTGTACATTGGATACTTTTTCTTCCATTCCTGTGATACTTTGCTAAGAAGTACATTTTCCAGTTCCATCCATGTAAACATGAAGGAGGTAAAGTCTTCGCTTTTCTTTAGGGCTGCATAGTATTCCATGGTGTACATATACCACAGTTTATTGATCCATTCATGGATTGATGGGCACTTGGGCTTCTTCCATGACCTGGCAATTACGAATTGGGCTGCAATAAACATTCTGATACAAACATCTTTATTGTAATGTGATTTTTTATCTTCTGGGTATATACCTAATGGTGGAATTGTAGGATCGAATGGCAGGTCTATCTTTAGTTCTGTAAGTGTTCTCCAGACGTCTTTCCAAAAGGAACGTATTAAATTGCATTCCCACCAGCAATGTAGAAGTGTTCCCTTTTCTCCACAGATTTTAGAGGAGAGTTTCCCAAGCATTGCAAGAGTTACAGAACTTCAGATAGCATACAGTTTTAGAACCCCAGCAAGACTCAATCCAAATAAAGCCTTTCTTGGACACATTGTGATTCACTTTGCCAAAGTTAAGACAAAGGAGAAAATTCTGCAAGCAGCCAGATGTAAGAAAAGCATCACCTACAAAGGGAGAAATATTAGAATGACTGCAGATCTCTCAGCTGAAAAGTTTCAAGCCAGAAGAGAATGGTCATCAACCTGCAATCTCCTAAAACAAAATAATCTTCAGTCCAGGATCCTGTATCCAGCTAACCTGAGTTTCATTTATGATGAAGAAATCAAATACTTTAATGACATAGACATGTTGAAGAAATTTGTCATATATAAACCAGCTCTCCAGGATAGTCTCAGACCCATCCTCCACAATGACCAGTGCAATGCTCTACCTCCAAAGTAAACTCATCCAGAAATTTCTGAACAAAACCCAACTTACACAATGGTGAAAAGATTAAAAATGTTCACTGGACATCTGAAAATTATGACACCCAAAACACAACCAGGCTTATCAATTCTCTCAATTAATGTGAATGGTTTAAATTGTCCTCTAAAGAGGCACAGGCTTGGCTGACTGGATATATAAACTCAGACAGGATATCTGCTGTATACAAGGATCTCACCTTACTTTAAAGGATAAAAATAGACTCAGGGTGAAGGGATGGACTTGTATAATACAGGCAAATGGAAACCAGAAAAAAGCAGGGGTTGCAATTATAGTAGCAAATACAATTGGCTTTAAACCAACAAAGATAAAGAAAGATATGGAAGGTCACTACATATTTGACAAGGGAAACACCCAACATGAAGAGATTTCAATAATAAACATGCACACTACCAGAATGTGCTTCAATTCATTAAGCAGACCCTAATGGATATGAACAACTTGGTATCTTCCTGCACTGTAATAGTTGGAGATTTTAACACCCCTTTGATGGTTTTGGAAAGATCTTCCAAGAAGAAACTAAACAGAGAAATATTAGACTTAAACCTGACCCTAGAACAAATGGACTTTACAGACCTCTACAGAACATTTCACCCTAATAAAAATGAATATACGTTCTTCTCATTAGCCCATGGGTCATCCTCCAAAATAGATCATATCCTAGAACACAAGTCTAACCTCAGCAAATTTAAAAGTACAGAAATTATTCCTGGTATCTTCTCGGACCACCATGGAATAAAAATTCCAACAGCAACAGGAATCTTCATATTCAAACAAAGTCATGGAAACGAAATAATCTTAGGCTGAATGACAGCTAGGTCAAAGATGAGATTAAGAAGGA